CTCAGATCCAGCGTGAGAGCCTGCAGCTTTGACAACTGCCCAAGATCCTCGGGCAAGACTGAAAGTTCTGACATGTCAAGGTCGAGGCTGGTGAGAGAATCCAGGCCGGAAAGCGACACTGGCAGAGACCTACCACCACAGCTTTTAACATTAACCGCCTTCATCCTCTACAAGTGCTCGAGAGCATCGAGCAGCTGTCCCATTCCCGACGACGGTTTCAAGAGCCTGCAGATGACCGAGATTGGCGTGCGGTGGGAGAGTAATTCCGCATCGTCGAATCTCCAGGACCACTAAGGAAGAAAGCTTGGTGATGGAGCCAGGCACCTGTAACGTTCTGCACTCGCTGATGGTGAGACGGTTGAGGCTTGCTAGCTGGCCGAGGGATTTGGGAAGTGACACCAGGGACGAGCAACCGCCAATTTGCAGAGTCTTCAGGAAAATCATATTCCCGAGATCTCGTGGCAAATACACGAGTTTGAACATGTGCAGCTCGAGGCTCGTGAGTGACTGTAACGAGGTTAATGTGTCGGGGAGACGAGTGACACTTGCAGCGAGATACAGGGTCTTGAGCGTAGAGAGATGGTCGATGGAGGGAAAAATGGCGGTAACACGCTCCGGGCAAAGCAGATGAAGATTTTCCAACCGAGTACACCTCTCAAATAGGGACGGAGATTGGAGACGGGGGTGAGGGTGCCATAGGAGAGGATGAGCTTTCTGAGGTTCTTGAACAACGAGAGCCATAGAACGAGTCAAAGAGGATTGATGTGGAGTTTGTCGCATAGGTTTATCTGGTCTTGTACGTGATATGCGATGCGATGCCAGTGCTTGCAGGTGAGAGCATGCTCTAGCCGACCATCGGGTTGCGCAAGAAAATGCAGGATTCGAAAAAGCAGCTCTTCAGGTAGTCGTTGGATTGGCGATCCGACTGGCATCGCGGACGGCGGAAACGAGGAGAAGATAGTATTTCATCAACGCTTGTTTTTGTGGTTAGGTCTGCAATTTTGGTAATGCTGGCTGACTGATGCATTGAATGCCTATTCACCTATCAATAGGCCAGTGTAAAAGAACCAGCGCGATCAGGTGACACTCGCTGAACGGGGAACCTTGGGCTTAGTCAATGGCATCGCACTGCACCGCTCAATGTCCTAAACCATTCCTACCAAATATCGCCTGTGTCCACTGTGTGTAGTCTAGGTTCCCCTGCTGGGTCAGGCGTAGGACCACCTGCCTTGTTTAGCCTCGGCTCCACTCTAGCTCCTCCGTCTGCGGCCGCTACCGCCGCGCTCTCTTTCACGCTAGACTCGGGTGCATCCGCCTGCTTCTTTCGCGACCACACTGCGCTCACGCCGCTTGCTGCCCCTACCGCTGTAGCACTTGCTGACCCCTCCTCATGTCCGGTAGTTGCACGTAGCTCTACTACCCTTCCCTTTCCGGCGGTTCCCTTGGGCTCCTTTACAGGCTTGCACATCCCCTCGTTCTCCTGGAACCTAGTTGGTGTCAGCTTTCTTCAGGACCTCGGCGTCTCCACCACGTTCCCTCGACATGAGCGGTACGCAGTGTGCACTGAGGCCGCCACTGGTGCCCCTCTCACCACGTTCCCCCGGGACCTGGTGTCTCGCCTGTTCACTCTAGACACCGCGTCTCCTCCTGTGGGAGCGTCCCCCTAGGTGGTCGCGCCCTCTCAGGTCACTGCGGCTTGCTCGTGTCAGTCGCTCACCCACCCGTCGCTGCTGTGGCACCACCGCTTGGGTCACACCGCACTCCCACGTCTGCGTCAAATGTCCCAGCACCTTCTTGTCTCAGGTCTCCCTGTGTCGCTCCCTACCCTCCCTCCCTCGTCTGCACCGCTGTACACGCCCAGCGTCGAGGGTCGGTTGTGCCGTGCCCCTCACTCCTCCTCGCTTCCCCCTACCACTGCGCCACTCCAGACCCTGCACCTAGACGTCTGGGGCCCAGCCTCTGTCTCTGGGTCTCGTCGAGAGCGCTACTTTCTGGTGCTCGTCGACGACTACACGCGCTACACCACGGTGTTTCCCCTAGAGCGGAAGGCTGACGTGTCTGACGTTCTTATCCCGTGGGTTGTAGCTGCGCGAGTCCACCGTAGCCTTCTTGTGTTGCGTCTCCACTCTGACCGAGGCGGCGAGTTCGCCTCCGGTCGGCTTGGCCAGTTCTTTCATAAAGAGGGCATCAACAAGTCGTACACCCAGCCGAACTCCCCGCAGCAGAATGGGGTCGCTGAGCGACACATCCCTTTGGTCATGGAGGTGGCTCGTACCTCCATGATCCATGCCGGAGCACCCCATTTTATGTGGCCATTCACTGTTCGCTACGCCGCTCACCAGCCTAACCTGTAGCCACACTCCTAGTGGCCGCAGGTTTCGCCGACCCTCCTCTAGACCGGGTTCCTTGTTGACGCATCTGGGGCTGCCTCGCTCACGTTCGTGCCTCTGGCACAGACAAGCTCACTGCCCGCACTGTCCCCAGTGTCTTCCTTTGTTTCCCCCGAGACGCGTCTGACTGGCACTTTTACCACCCGCCGTCTCATCGTTTCTTTCAGTCTCATGACGTCACTTTTGACGAGCCTGTCTCCATCTACACCCGCTTTCCTCACCTAGGTCTCCTGGTTGCCTTGCCCATGTTCTTGGTCCCCACTCCCCTAGTAGCACCTGCTCCTCTCCCTCCCCGTCCTGCCCCGTCTGGTGTGTCTCACGTCTCTCCCCTCCTGTCGGTCGTCCCAGTGGAGGAGTTGGCTGACTCTGGGGGCCCTGGTACCATGCAATGATAGCTAGCTACGGAGCATTGTAGCTGCTCATGTTTTACGGCCTGCGGCAGGCACCCCATGAGTGGCACGACACGCTGCGTGCTACGTTAGCTGACCTGCAGTTCTTCCCTCGTCGTTCGTTCTGGCCAAAACCCGTTCTACATTTTTTTCTACATAGACGACCTGGTCTTCGCTACTGTAGACACAGAGGCACTGGCCTCGTGAAGGCTGAGTTGTTGAGGACACACACCTGCACTGACCTAGGAGAGTTGCGCCGCTACCTTGGCCTGCAGATCTCCAGGGATAGAGCAGCGCGCACCATCACTCTTACACAGTCACACTTTGTGCGCCAGGTCCTTCAGAGGTTCGGTCTTCAATTCTCCTCCGTACAGCCCACACCTCTGCCACTAGATCACAGGCCCTCGGCTACAGTCTCTGAGGAGTCTATAGAGCCTAGTGGTCCTTACGCAAAGCTGATGGGTTGCTTCATGTACCTGATGACTTGCACTCATCCAATTCTCGCATACCCTCTCAGCACCCTGACTCACTTTGTGGCCACAGACAGACACCGACCACAGCACTGGTCGGCCGCTAAGAGGGTTTTGCGTTATCTAGCAAGTACATCGGGCATGGGGCTTGTCACAGGATCGAATGTCCCGATGAAAGGTTTGCTCAATGTTGCACTATCATTCAGTACAAGGTGCTTTTATACTTCCAGAGTACATCAGGTAACCAGGTTTATCCTATCCAAAGGAAATAGACCCTTCTAGAAATAGAATCACCCTGCGTATAGCCACGCGAGGCTATTGGCTTTAAGGGATTACGGCAGGATTACGCTAGATATAGCGCGCCAGTACATCCCGAGCCTGGTCGGTGATATAATTATAATAACAGGATAAACCAAAGGATAATGGCAAAGGAGGAATTGGAAACCAAATGAGATGAGATAAAGACCAAATGAATGAGGATAAAAAGAGGAATGAAATAGAAAGGAAATATGGAAAGGGGAAATTGGTGTAACGGGGTCGTACTCTCACAGGGCTAGTGCAAGAAGGACGCAGGCCTGTGGTCCTTACTGGGCACACAGACGCTTCTTGAGCAGACGACGTTGAGACCCTCAGGTCCTCCCAAGGCTACTGCTTTAACCTTGGTTCAGGTGCCATCTCGTGGAGGTCCACCCGCTCGTCGTCTGTTGCCCAGTCTAGCTGTGAGGCTGAGATCTACGCCGGTACCATGGCGGCACAGGAGCTCCGCTGACTGACCTTCTTGCTCACTGACTTGGGTGAGCGGCCTAGCTCTGCCCCAGTCCTGTACGCTGACAATAGTACCATGATCCTCCTGTGTCAAGAGCCTCGACTAGAGGGCAGAGCGAAGCACATCCAGCTGCGGTACTTCCTGTTGCGTGAGCTACAGCAGCGTCGTTAGGCCCGCGTAGTACACTTGGCCTCCGGTGCCAATACAACTGATATCTTTACTAAGGCACTTGTGCCTAAAGATCATCAGCGGCACTGTGTACAGCTTGGTCTAGTTCTTGTAGCTTTTCACTTGCTACGACCTTGATTGTATACTATATCTGATATTACCTTGACTGGCCTTGTGGCTCCTGTTCCAGTGGCTGAACTAGAAGTGCCGCCTTGGGTTACTCTTGTTTCCTTTGTACTCTTGCTGACTGGTCTTCAGACCCTTGCCTTAGAGGTTGGACTAGTAGTGTTACCCTGAGCTGCGTGTCTCTTGCTAGTCGTTGCCACTTGTCTAGCCTAGGGGGTGTGTCAACATATATTTGTGTATGTTATAGGGTAGATATGTGCATGCTCATAGAGAGTACAACTCCTTAGGACAAAACCACCCTGTATCACTCATTCTAGTTCATTGCGTTATTCTGAGAGAATGATGGGGTGATGAGGTAGGGGTGCGTGTGGGTTGGATTGTAGTGCTTATGGTGTGGTGAAGGTTCCACGGTAGTGCATACTATGTGGACACACATTGGTGAGGCTTTTGATTTGATTTGGCCTTGCTGTGTGATTACGGTATTGTCCTTGTGCGTGCGCCTAGGCGCAAGAGACATCTGATCGGATGCTCAGCCTCTAGTCAGCGCAACAGAGACTTGGCTGAATGAGGCCGTATAGTAGAGAGTTTACTTACTAATATGTTTGTATTATGCCTCGGCTAGTCAGCTCAAAACACAACGCCGCCCTCACACATTTCCTAAACACAAAGGGGACCATACATCAAATCAAATGCGTATTGACTGCTTTTACTGTACAACCGATCAAGTCCACCAAATGAAATGGACTATTTAAAACAACTCTGGATACAAACCAAGACACGCTGAAATATTCACGGCTGCTTTGAGCTCTCTTTGAACCTTCGTCCTTTCGAAAAACACAGGGCAATCCAGAGACACACAAGCGACATCTGAACTATCCAAAAACTGAGACGGTGCCGAGTTCAGGGACGTATTGCCCCCATCCTGGGAAGATTCAGAAATAGCCGGGAATGCACCACAGTGGAGGCAAACCTGCCCAAGAAAATGGAGAAGAGTACAATCCAGAATTTGAATATTGGGAGCGAGTGTCCCAAAGAGGTAGAAAGGTGAAATGACATGCGGATAGGAATAAATTACGAAAGATGCCATAGAAGTTGCTTACCGCTGATAGATGGCGGTATTCCCTCTCCAGAAGAGCGGCTCTCATCGTAAGGACCAGCGCTGGCACTTGACCTAATTCCCCGGCTTGCCCTGGTTGACTCTCTTGCCCCACACCGGCAGCCTCGCCCGCCCTGCCACCAGCATCCATCTCACTGGAGTCATCTGGATCTCCTCTACACGACCTGCAGATTGGCAATGCGTGCCCCTGCCCATCTGCATGCTTTGCCTCGCCTGCCCCTTCTAAACGCGTGGCTGCCCCTGCTCCTTCAAGCTGCTCCTGCTCCGTTCCTCCTCCCTCCTCCCTGGCTTCTCCTATTCCTACCCCCTCTCCCCTTCCACTAACTCCAGGCCCTACGATCCGTCGTCCTCTCCCTCCTCCATCACCCCTGCCTGCCATCGCCCCCTCTCCCCTCACCACTCTCACCTTCCCCCCACAAACCACACAATGACTCGTCCCGTAGTACTGGTCGATCCTCACTTGCCCCCCTCCCACACCCCTTCCTCTCCCCCTTCCCCTACCAACCCCCCTCCCCTGCCCCCGCCCCTGCAACACATACCCCCTGGTAGCTCCCCCCTCCCCCTCCCGCTGCCACGTCAGCAGCGGCTGCTTGGAAGGCCCCAGCCGGCACGACAGCGGCAGCTCGGCGAACCACGACGCGACACGTGTCCCCACGAGGGCAAACACCCGATGCAGCGCCGGAATCACCTTCCTGGTAACATAATACGTAACATTCAGTCGGAGAGCAGGCGAGTCTACCAGTACCCTCGGATCCACCACCAAGTCAACGAGCCTGGACCCCGGATCCCCATGCACTATCACATACGGGACTCTCTCTTTGTACTTGGGCTCAGCTCGGGGGTCTCGGCGCATGGCTTTGGTGGCAACGATGGCGGCGGGGGGGAGGATGGCGCGCGGGTTGCTGCTGTACGTGCCGAGACGCACCTCCTGGGCGAAAATGAAGTCTTGAAGGGAGATTCGGCCCTGCAGCATGCGCTGCCACTGCCGCACTAGGTATGTGCGCACCTGAGAGGAAGGGGGTGTGTGGTAGAGGGAAGAAATGGGGAGCTTCGCCTCCTGCCTGGCACCCGTCCCTCCTCAGTCTACCAAAATCCTAAAAAGAATTGTAAGAGACCTTTCCAGCAGCTTGCTTGCACACAGCAGGGCACCCGTCCTTCCTGACCGCCAATCTTCTAACTGTACACTAGCCAAGCTTTCACATCCGTAAGCATACCTTGGATGGATCGTTGGTGTTCATTAGGATCTTGAGGGATCTTTCCAGCAGCTTGCTCACAGCAGGGCACCCGTCCCTCCTGACCATCTTTCAGCACGGCATGTTCCCATGCTAAGCGTACACATCCATAGCCATACCTTGGACAGATCGTTGGTGTTGAAAAAGCATCTTAAGAGATGTCTCTAATATCTTGCTCACAGTGGGGCACCGTCCCTCCTGACCGCCTTTCGGCATGTTCCCAAGCTAAGCATACGCATCCATAACAGCCTTGGATAGATCGTTGGTGTAAAAAAGGATCTTAAGAGATGCTTCCAGGAGCGTGCTCACAGCAAGGCATCAGACCTTGCTGACAAGCTGAGCCTCCAATCGACCATATCCGTGCTCCACGTCTCTATCTTACCTTGGACAAATCGTTGGTGTAGAAAAGGATCTTGAGGGACTTCTCCAGCAGCTTGCTGACAGCGGGGCACCCGTCCCTCCTGACCGTCTCGATGCCCTTGGCGTCGAACAGAGGGGGACACGTGGCAGAAGGGGATTCGTACGCGAGCCCCACGTAGCGCTTCTTGGTCTGCAGCACGCACGGGTGGTACACCTTCTCCAGCTTTAAAGCCACTGGTGCGGGCGAGAGCGCGGTTACCGCTGCCACGATCTCGTTGCCGATTGCGAAGGCTTGCTCCCTGGTACGCCCCACCAACAGAACGAACATGCTGCAGCAAGGAGGGAGGAGGAAAGAGGGAAGAGGAAGAGAGTGAACGGGAGGGAAGGGATGTCAACACGCCTCGAGAGGGAAAGGGATGCGAGCCCCACGTAGCCCCACGTAGCTCTTCTTGGCGCTTCCTGGTTCGGCCTTCCAGCAGCACGTACATGCTGCAGGGAGAGAGGGAGAAGGGGGGGAAGGGGGACGGCAACATGAGGGTCAACACGGTTACTGCTACCTGCTCACGGATGCAACCCTCCAGGAGAACAAGCATGCTGCCAGGAGGGGGAAGGGGATGGGCAAAAGAGGAAAGAGAGGAGTTTAGTTCTGAGGCGCCTCAAAACAAAGCGATAAGGAGAGGGACAACTGGGCAACATGGCTTCTGCTGCCTGTCTCCCGCAGGGACACCTGATGGATCCAACCCTGCAGAGCATACTGCCAGGAGCCCAAGAGCAACAACCCCCCACCTGTCAGTGTCGCCATACACCACTCTCGCATTCCACGCTGGATGGCTGTTCACCAGAGCTATTGCTCTCTCCAGGGTTGTCCTTCCCGCCTGCCAGGAAAGGTGAGAAGCAAGAGCAGAGCAAATGGCGGAGAAGTAAAACAGGGAGATGGGTGAGGAGAGGCCTGGAGTGCCTTTTGAGGCGCCTCAAGAGGAGAAGCAAAACAGGAAGATCGGTGAGGAGAGGCCTGGAGTGGGCCAGAGGTTGAACGGATGGAAGGAGCAGAACAAGAGCAGGTAGACCTGAACAATGCTCCAGGAGCAGGTAGGCTGCTGGTGTTTTCTGCTGGTGACAAATCACCAGCAGTCGACTCAAAAGTCACCAGCAGAACAAGAGCAGGTAGACCTGAACAATGCCAATCAGTCTCACCTGCACAATGCTGTCCGCCAGCTCAGCCATTGGCATGCGGCCAGAAAAAGAGGCAGCTGTGTAACCATAAGTCACGTTCGCAATGAGCTTCAGGGCGAACTGGCGGGCGTTCAGCACGCGGTGCAGCACTCGGCTCTGCTTCCCCGGGAGTAGCTTCTTCATTGCCTTCTTCACCATCACGCGGGTAGCCAGGATTTCCTTGAGCAGGCGGGGCAGCACCCCTGGTCGCACCTACAGATACGCGGGGGGGGGAAGCGCGCAAAGGACAGGCGTGATGAACTGGCGCGCGTTCAGCACGCGGTGCAGCACAGGGCCCTGCTTTCCCGGGGGTGGTTTCTTGATCGCTTTCTTCACCATCACTCGAGTAGCCAGAATCTCTTTTAGTAGCCAGGGCAGCAATCCTGGCCGCACCTGGGTGGAAGGGGAGGTTGGGGGAGAGGGGCGTGTAGGAGGGGACATGACATGGGAACTGCCGCACAAACAGCATGCGGTGCCGCATGTTCAGCACGCGGTGCAGCACTCGGCTCTTCACCATCACACGAGTAGCAAAGATCTCTTTTGAGTAGCTGGGGCAGCACCCCAGGACGCACCTGGGTGGGGGAGGAGGACGAGGGGGAGACATGGCATGGCACGGCACATACATCACTGCGTTGGGTAGCATTGCATGTTGTGGCAGGGGATGGCATGGCATGGGATGGCTTATACACAGGCAGAGACAGAGCCTCACCTTGGACGGCACATACATCCCTGCATTGGGCAGTATTGCATGGTGTGGCAAGGCACGGCATGGCATGGCATGGGATGGCATGGGATGCACATATATACAGGCAAAGACAGCGTCTCACCTTGGGCGGCACATACATCACTGCGTTGGGCAGCAGAAGCAGATCGTCCTTCAATGAGGACACGACACCTGGCGGCACACGATAAGTCGTCACGCCCAGGGGCCTCTCCTCCTCCCCCCACCACTGCTTCTGACCCGGACCACCAGGGGAGGCATCCTGAGGCGCTGCAGCCGCAGCAGGAGCGGAAGCAGTCTCAGCAGCAGCAGTGGCACCCGCAGCAGCAGCAGCACCACTGCCACCAGCACCAGCAGCAGCAGCTTCACTACCAGCAGCAGGATCAGCAGCAGCAGCGGCCGAGGAGGAGGGCGGCGGGATGCGGCCGAGGCACGTGGAAAAGCAGAGGTTGTAGGCTATGAGCATGGAAGGGTAGAGCGATTGGAAGTCCAGCACCACCACGGGGCTCGTGTAGTAGCGGGACTCGGGCTCCATCACGAGGGGGATGCACGCAGGGGCTGGCTGGTTTGACACCTGCAAATGTTGGGGGGGGGAGATGGGGTTGAGGGGAGAAGCAGAGGTTGTAGGCGATGAGCATGGAGGGGTGGAGCGACTGGAAGACCAGCACCACCACGGGGCTCGTGTAGTAGCGGGACTCGGGCTCCATCACCAGAGGAATGCACTGTGCGGCTGGCTGATTTGACACCAGTGAAAGAAGGGGGTCTGTGCAGCAGAGCCAGATGAGCATGGAGGGGTAAAGCGACTGGAAGCCGCTGACGACCACCGGGCTTGTGTAGTAGCGCGACTCCGGCTCCAAGTCTAGAGGGATGCACGCAGGGGCTGGTTGGTTGGACACCTGGGAGAGGGAGAGAACAAAGGGGCATCGGATTGAAATTATGCAAAAGATAACAGCAGCCTGCAATGTTCTGATATTAGTTACGAGAAAATCAACTCTATGAAAGAGTTAGGATTTGATAATTATGAAAATGAAGCTTTTAATGAAGCTAATATATTCAAACTTGAAAAGTTCTTAAAGCTTAAGATTAATAAACTGGACGCATTGGAACCTAAGTTAAATAAAGTTACACGCAAGGTACACGCAAGGCTTCCTGCATGCAAGAGGGCGAGACGAGGAGGTAGTTCTGCGAGTGTGCGAGGCGCCTCAAAGCATTACCTGCACTGTAACATGGTTACCACACAGCATCACACATACCTGCATGCGCGAGGGCGAGATGAGGAGGTAGTTCTGCGAGTGTGCGAGTCGCAGCATCATGGACTCGACTCGGTACTGCGAGCCCCGCGACAACACCGAGAAGAAGTCGATACCAAACACCCGCGCCAGCTCCGCTGTGCGGTTGACCTTATAACGAGGATAGAAATAGAGGGGTAAATGGAGAAGAAGTTGTGGAGGGGAGGGTCGTTTGAGGGTGCTTCACGCTAGCGAGAATGGTGTTTGAACCTAAGAGAGCTTTCAGCACAACACGCCATGCCTACATGACATCACTCACAATGAACGGATGGCTTCCCTAAGAACATCCACGTGGCACCAGGCAGAACGCCCACGTGGCACCACTCACAATGTCCAGGTGTCTCATCATCTCCAGATTCAGCCGAGCTCTCGCCACAAAATGCTCGATGCACCTCCACCGCTGCACCCTCCCCACCACCCCACCTCCTCCTCCTCGCACCCTCTCCACACCTGCTGCTGCTGCTGCTGCTGCTGCTGCTGCCTCTGCTGTTGCTGATTCTCCTGCTGCTCTCCCTCCTCCCCCCACTCCCCCTACTCCTTGTCCCCCCTCCCCTGCCCTCCACCAGCCAGTCAACGTGGACCAATCATACTTGGGCACGTGGCGGCGCAGCACAGCGAGCGCCACAGCATGGAACGAGTACACAGGGAGCTTCACCTCGGCCCTCATGATCCGCCATAGATTCAAGATAATGCGTCCAGATACATGCATGCCGCTGCCGTGCGTTCGCCCCCACTCATCCGCCACTATCGCGTCGTCGTCCCCCCGCCCGCGTCCCCCTCCCTTCCTCCACCTCTCCCTCTCGCCGTCTCCTCTCACGCCCCCTCCTCCGCCAACTCCCCCTCGCTGCTCTCCTCCCAAGCCTTGGTGTCCCACAAACCCCTGTCCTTCTCCCATCCGCCCATTCGCACCACTTGTCTTCTCACCTCCTCCTGCTGCTAACCCCCCCTTACCAGTTGTCCCTCGTCCCCCTCGTCCCCCTCCTCCCCATCCCCCCGCTCCTCCCCCCCCTCCCCCTGGCCCCCCTGCTCCCCATCGTCCTCCAGCTCCAACAGCTGCCCCTGCTGCTGACGTGGCAGGGATGAGGAGAGGCCACGTGGAGGGGTCATCAGCCAGCATGGTAGAATCACCTGGCGGCTTACGTCCTCTATTCCCCTGTGCATGTGCTTGTACATGCGTCTCCCCATGTGTTTGCACTCCTGCATCTGCATGCATGTCTACATGCGTCTCCCCATGTGCATGCATTTGTGCATCTGTCTGTGCAAGCATATCCGCATGTGCACGGGGGAGAGAGAAGCCCCCAAGCCCATGGCGCCAGGCACTCATGTCTTGAGGAACGGGGATGGACTGGGAGGGGGAGAGCAGAGGGGTGAGGATGGGGGGGGGAGAGGAGTGGATGGGGGGTGGGAAGGGAACAGGGGACGGGGAGCCTGGCTGCTGCTGCTGCTGTTGCTGCTGCTGCTGGTGCTGCTTTGACATGCTCAAGCTATTAACAGGAGTAGCAGCGTCAGGAGTGGTAGTGTGAGTAGGTGCAAAGGGCGATTGAGAAGGGCCCATCGGGAGAGACTGGGAGGGGGACAAGGGGGATTGGGAGGGGGACAGAATGTGCTGCGAGTCAACAAGCATCTGAGATGAAACTGCTGCATGCGGTGACTGTGCCGGGTGTGACTTTAATGGGGGCGACTGTGCTGCGAATGGCTCTGGCGGGCGTGACTCAAACTGATGAGGTCTGTTGAAGGGGCGAGGTGGAGGTGGAGGCGCTGAGACAGGTGCTTCAGGCGCGTTGCATCTGGGCTGCACCCTTGCCTGCGGTACAGTCACATCCTGTACAGGTGGCACTCTTGGCTTCGTTATATACACATCCTGTACAGGTGGCACATCTGGCTTCATCACAGTCGCATCGTGCACAGGCGGCACTCTGGAGAGCGATTTGAGGAGGTTAAAGCCCAGGTGTTGCGCCCTCTCCGCCAGCCACCCCCAGGAGCCCCCCTGCACCTCCCACCCCAGCAGTATGTCCGGGTCGCACTCCCTCACTACCGCTACTAGTTCCTCTAGGAGGGCTGCTTCTGATGGCAGCAGGTGGATGCGGCAGGACGAGAGGGCGTCAGGGTTCCTGCAGGGAGAGAACGATGTACAGAAACAGAGGGGGGCACAAGAAAGAAGCAGGTTGAGGCCCAGGTGCTGCACCTCCCAGGCTCCCACCCCAGCGGTATGTCCGGGTCGCACTCCCTCACTACTAGATGGATGCGGCAGGATGAGAGGGCGTCAGAGTTCGTGGGGGGAGAAAGGGAGACGGGAGAAATGGTGAAAAAAACAAGACAGAAGAGCGACTCAAATCAGCTACCCCCTGAAGGCCCGATGCACCTTGCACACACCCCAGAGTACCCACTAGCAAAATTGCACCACACGTGCAGCATTGCAGCATTGTACCCTACATGCGGCAGGTTTCAGCAGGAAAGTCTTCCAGGACCAACTCATCCACTGTAGCCTTCCCTCCAGCTCTCCTCAACCCCCTGAGGGTTTTGAGTCAATGTTTTGAGTCAATGTTTTGAGTCAATGTTTTGAGTCAATGTTTTGAGTCAACTCAGAGCAATATGAGTACCTGCGGTGGGTGTCAGCGGGAGAATCTTCCAGGATCAACACATCCACCCGAATCTTCCCTCCAACTCTCCTCAACCCAATCCGCCTCTTCCCACTCCCTGCCTCTCTCCCTGCCACACCCCTCCCTGCTGCCTCCCTCTCCTCCTCTTCTCCCGTCCCGTCCTCCATCCCCTCCCCTCCCTCACTCTCCCTAACCTCCTCCTCATCCTCCCCGTCCCCTCCTCCGTCCTCCCCCTCCCCCCGCGTGGCCAGCACAACACAGCAGAGAGCGTCCAGCGCAGGGTCAGGCAGCAGAGCCCCACGGGTGCACGCAAGCACCTCTGCACTCATGCTCACCATGTGCTCACAGCAAGACGAGGAGGGGGAGGAAGGGGAGGGGGAGGAGGAGGGCGACGGTTTTCTTTCACTCTGGCCCTTGCCTCGTCCTGTATCCGCTTCACCATCCTTCATTGCGGCACCATCCTTCATTGCTGCTGCACCCTTCACTCTCCTCTCCTCCTGCTGCATTTCCCCTGCCCTCGCTTCCCCACCCCGCCTCTCAGCCCATGTCTCCTCCTCTTCTATTTTCCCAGACCCCCCTCCTTCTGATTCTCCCCCTCCGTTCTCTCGTTCACCTCTCCCTCTTCCCCCGTCAATTTTTTTCTCTCCAATCTTCTTCTCTCCACCCATTTTCTCTCTGAATCCTGATTGGCTGACTGGAGTGGCTGACAGCGCTGCCTGAGTCGCTGGGGTGAGCTGCGAGAAGTCTCGCCACCTGGCAGCCCCTGATTGGCCAAAAGCATGGCCCTTCCATGGCCCAGGTACAGCGAACGGCCTGTGATTCACACCTGAAGTTACACCTGAAATTGCACCTGGGGTCGTGGTTAGTTGGAGATGATGCGATTCAGGTGAGAGGGGAGAGGTGGAGGAAGGGGAGGAAGGCAGGGTGAAGGGGAAACGGGGAGGGCGGAAATTCTGTGTGGGGAGTGTGAGAGGGGGGGACTGGAGGGGAGTGGGAGAAGGGCGAGGGGGGGAAAGGCTGGTGGGCGCAGCAGAAGCAGGTGTGGGCGCGGGCTCTGCAATAGGGAGAGAAGAAGGCAGAGGAGGAAGAGGCGACCCCGCAGAAACAGCAGCTGCAGCAGCAGCAGCAGCAGGAACGGCAGCAGCATTAACGGCAGCAGTGGTGGTGCCAATGGTCATTCGAAGAACGGAGGGGGGGATGCGAGGAGGAGGCATGGAGGTGCAGCGAGACCGATCAGCCGTTGCTACTGTGGGTGAACTAGGACTGCCATCTTGGGGCTGGAACTGGGGCAGAGCAGAACCCAGGGGAGGAGAGAGAGGACTGCTGTGGTGATGCACCCCCGAGGGAGGGATGCGAGGAGGAGGCATGGCGGGTAAACGGCATCGATCAGCCGTGGCAGGTGAAATCGGACTGCCGCCTTGGGACTGGGACTGGGGCAGAGCAGAACCCAGGGGAGGAGAGAGAGGACTGCTGTGGTGATGCACCCCCGAGGGAGGGATGCGAGGAGAAGGCATGGAGGTAAAGCGAGGCCGATCAACCATTGCTACTGCAGGTGAAATCAGACTGCCGCCCGGGCATTCAGGCAGTGCAGAAGGCAGTGGGGGAGAGAGAGGACTGCTCTGGTGCGCTGATGTACCTTGTGATGAAGCGGGGGTGTGATCATGCACGGCGACCCCCCCCTGCATGGCAGAACGTCCTCCAGCTTCCGTTCCAATTCTCCCGCTTTGCCAAGCCCTCCCAATCCTGGCCTCCTCACCTCCACTGCTCGCTAGTCCCTGCAGCCTTGCCCTCTCTATGTGCCCGGAGGCATCTACGCTTCGTCTTCTCCTTGCGCTCCAGGCGTTTGACCTGACCCGTGACTGTGTGGGGGGTGACAGCAGCTGCGTTGTAAGCACGTGCCCCTCAGTCCACTTGGGCGACGCTGGGCGCTCAAACACCACCTCCTCCTCCTCTTCCTCTTCCTCTTCCTCACAACCATCCCCTCTATCCTCGTTAGAAACATCCTCGCTATCAGCATCTCGGTCCTTCTCACTTCCCACCCCTCGTTTCCCTTCCCCCTCCTCGTCCTCCCCTTCCGCCTCCTCCTCTGCCATTTCCTCAACCTCCCTCCTCCACCTTCCCACATCACTCCACGTCCCCCACCCCCATCCCCCCTCCTCCTCCCCCTCCTCCATCTCCCCACTGCCTCTTACCGCCCTTCCCTTCCCTCTCCCCCCTTGCCCTTGAGTGCTACCGCCCCCAGAACCCACCTTCTTCAGCCGTACTCTTCCCTGCTGCTGTGACCTGCCCGCAACCACTGTGCCGCTCCCAATTACAGTGTCTCCCCCCTGGACCAGGAGTTGCCCTGTGTTTGAATCCACAGCGAAGTCCGGCTGCTGCTCATCTGACTCTCTCACACCACCACCACCACCATCACCACCAGCATTGGTAGCAGCATCCGCAGCATCATCAGCACCCGCACCAGCAGCATCAGCTACAACACTCAAACCACCATCGCCAGCAAACACAGGCTTTTCCACTCTTCCCTTGCCCGCTCCCACACTTGCTCTCCTCCCCGCCTTCCCTCCGCCACTCAGGTAAGCGACATGCTTACCCCTTCCACTCTTATCTCTACTCTTCAGCAGCCCCTCCCTTCTCGCCCACACCTCCACCCGCCGCAGCGAAGGCGGCTGCTGAGCCGGCACGATCTGATACGTGGTCCGGCCGAGCCTGTCGACTCGGCCCGGTACACCAGGTACGGGCTCCCCCTCCCGAGCCAGCCTTGGTACCGGCCAACGCATTGAAGCAGCAGCTGCTAATGCAGCGGTTACAGGAACTCTAGAAGATGAGGCAGCGAAGTAGGTACTACTGCTGCTGCCACCGCCAGCACCACCGCTACCAAAGGAACGGAGGGAGGTGATGGGTGCGGAGTTGTCTGGTGCGCTGAGGAATCCAGAAGGAAAGCTTGAGGAGGGGGCGAGTGTGGCGAGAGTGAGAAAGGGTGGGGCGGTGTTGAAGGTGGAGCGGGAGCGAGGGCCGGAGGGGTCGAAGGGGAAGGGAGGGAGATGGGCGTCATGGGTTGAGAGGACTGTGGGGTGGTGGGGGATGGACAGAGGGAGATGGAGAGAGGAGGGTAGAGGGTAGAGAGCGCAAATAGGGAGTTTTGTTTTGACGCCCCCATCTGCAATCCGAAAGACTTGAGGCAATCATGGGAATCGCAAGAGAACCGAGAGAACGGGCAGGATGAAAACATCTGTACTAACCGCACACTCACTTTTGAATTCCTTCCCGCCAAAAACAGGAGGCCTCTCAGGCACGTCCCTGACGTCACCATAGTACACGTCAGGCCACTGCACAGGTGGCAGGCCATGGGTCTGCCACGTGTCCCTCAGCTCAGCCAATGAGGGAGGCGCCCTGTGATACACCAGTGGATCACGCTGTTCCTCTGCAGGATGTGACTGTAACGAGAGGCAGGATGCTTGTCTCGCTATAAGCACAGGTGGGATGGTGCGGGATGGAAGGGACGGAGGAGATGGAGAGGCAGAAACAGTTGGGACCTCACGGGACGGGAGGGAGGTAGGAGAGAGGGAGGCAGAAATTGGTGAAGGTGGTGTCTGCTGCAAACCGCACAGCACTGAAGGCTCTACCTCTACTGCTGCTGCAGATGCTATCTGTGTTGCAGGTGAAATCTCTGCTGCAGGTGCCATCTCTGCTGCAGGTGCCATCTCTGCTGCAGGTGCCATCTCTGCTGCAGGTGCCATCTCTGCTGCAGGTGCTATCTCTGCTGCGGGTGCAACCTCTGCTGCAGGTGCCATCTCTGCTGCAGATGCTATCTCTACTGCAGGTGCTTTCTCTGCTGCAGGTGCTATCTCTGCTGCAGGTGCTATCTCTGCTGCAGGTGCTATCTCTGCTGCAGGTGCTATCTCTGCTGCAGGTGCTATCTCTGCTGCAGGTGCTATCTCTGCTGCAGGTGCCATCTCTGCTGCAGGTGCTAACTCTACTGCAGGTGCTATCTGTGCTGCAGGTGCTATCTGTGCTGTAGGTGCTTTCCCCATTGCAGGTGCCATCTCAACTGCAGGTGCCATGTATGCTGAAGGTGCTACAGGAGCATCAGAAGCCCCTACTTCTTCAACCCTGTTGGTGATGCCTCGTGCTGAAGCTGAATCGTGAAATTCACCCTGCCCCGAAGCATCATCAGGTAAAGGTTCAGGTGCTGCAGATGCCAACACCTCTCGTTCGGCTGGCTCAGAGACACGTCCTTCTTGACTCATCCTATCGCGATTCTCACAACTCGTCCGCGTTCCTTCGCCCTTCTCTTGGCTCATCATGCCTTGGCCCTTGGCAGGCAGCCACTCCTCCGACCCCTCACTGCTGCTGTCTCCTCTGCCCTCTCTGCTGCGCTCTCTGCTTTCCCCGCTGCTGCCTTCTCTGATGCCATTTCCAATGCTACTGCTTTCGCCCTCTCTACTCTTGCCACTACAGCCATCCCTCCTGCTGCTGCTCACACTGCTGCTGCGCCCGGCCCTGCTGCCCGTCCTGCTGCTGCTGCCCTTAAGTAACGTTTCTCTTTCACAGCCCCTTCCTCCACCCGCACTCCCTGTCATTGATCCTTCACCGCAGCCCAGTGCCTTGGCACCTTTCTGGTTAGAAACATGTCTTTCGGCCCTCTCCAGGCCTGAACCACTAGTGAGTGTCAGTCCACCCCCAGGCCCGAGGCCAACCCCATGCCCGGCGCCAGAGCTCAGCTGATGAGGGCCTTGCAGCCTCTGCTGCTTGTGGCGCCTCTTTCGCGATCTCAGGTGCAGGCCGGTGGTAGGCGGAGTCATCACTATCTCGTCCTCCTGCTCCCCCTGCTCCCCCTGCTCCCCCTGCTCCCCCTGCTCCCCTGCTCCCCCTGCTCCCCCTGCTCCCCCTGCTCCCTTTTCTCCCTCGGCTCTCCCTGGTCAAATAGGTCAACGTGGTTGATCGGTGCAACATGGTCAACTGAACCACGCCTCCTTTCACAAACTCCCACTTCTTTCTCTGCTCGGCCTTGTTCCATTCCCCTGTCACCCTCCCCATTTTCATCAACATCTCCACCACCATCACCATCACCATCTCTATCTCCATTATCATCATCCTCGCTATTGTCATCCTCACTGCTGTCCCCGGCACCATCCGTCTGGTTCATCTGCCACGTCATCAGATCGCCGCCCAAAAACTCATCAATCCACGCCAGTCCCGGCTCTTCCTCCGCCCCCTCTCCTTCCTTGCTCTTCTTCTCTCCTCCTGAACTCTCCCCTCTTCCCACTCCTTTCTTCTCTTTGCCTCCCCTTCCTCCTGCCACTATCTCCCCTCCTAAGCCACCCTCGCATCTTTCCACATGCCCCCTATCCTCTTCCATCTCCCCATCCTGCTCTTCCCCCCCCCCACCTTGCACTTCCCCCCCCCACCTTGCACTTCCCCCCCCGCACCTTGCACTTCCCCCCCCCCACCTTGCTGCGCCCATTCTTCCCACTCTTTCCCCCATTCCTCCCCTCCAACCTCCTCCCCTTCCTCTTCCTCCTCCTCCTCCTCCTCCCCCTCCTCCTCCCACCCCTCCCCCATCTCCCGCACACTCGCCAGAATCCCCTCACACTCTGCCGCAACAGATGCTTCATATGCCTCCCACGCCTGCTCCACTGCTGCGCGCCTCCTCTCCCCTTGGGAGCCCAACGTTACCCCTTGTGATCCCACCATTCGTCCCGGTGACGCCATCACCATTCCCTGCGATCCGAGCAATAACCCCGGAGACCCAAACGTCATTGGACCCGTGCGCCCATGATCCCCTTGACTTTCTTGACCCCGTTCATCCAGAGCACCCTGCTCCGCTGTTCCCTGAGTTACCCTTCCTGCACTCCCCCCTGGCAAGTCTGCTGCCTCCCCTCCCAGCAGCAGCCGCTCGTCATCACTCGCACTGTCACCTTCGCTGTTGTCACGCTGCGTGCTGGAGACCCATCTCAGGAGATCCAGCGCCTCCTCCTCGTCCTCCTGAAGAGGGGGTGTTGGGGGAGGGACGGCTTTGTTTTGGGCACAGAAACTTGGTGAGCTGGATACACACACGTCCCCAGAAATTGCTGGGGGCTGGCGACCCATCTCAGGAGATCCAGGGCCCTCCTCCTCGTCCTCCTGAAAGGGGGGGTATTGGGAGAAATGTAGAAAGGGGTAGGCGTGGGCACGACACCATGGTGGTTGATTGGATTGGGTGAGACGGACACAGGTGCTGGGTGCCTAAGCATTGCTGGGTGCTGGCAAGGGGGCTTCCTCCTCGTCCTTCAAGATATACAGGGCTTCCTTCCTCCTCGACCTCCTGAGGCAAGGAGAGGGGGGTTGGGGGTGAGGCGGGGTGGGTGGGGGGGGGAGAGGAAGATTCGAAACGAATGGAGAAACACTGTGAAACAATGCACCGAAAAGAGGAGAGAATGGGCGTTACCCGCTGTGATAGCTGCGTGAATCGAGGCACGCCAAAATGGCAACAGGAAAAGACGGGAAGGAGGGATGAAGCCCACCTGCTGCATCTGCTGTTGTGATAGTTGAGTGAACACCGCCGCTGCATCCACCAGTGGCACGGCAGCATCGTCACCATCGCCCTTAACAAAACCATTTGCACCACCATCTGGACCACCACCATCTTTATCACCCCTCCCACCATCGGCATGCCATCCCTCTTCTGATCCTGCCCCGTCCTCCCCTGCCTCAGCTGCACCACCTTGGAACGTCACTCTCCTCTGCCGCTTTCTCACACTCCCCATCCCATCACCGCTCTCCACCCATCTGTCACCAGCGTCTGTGCATGCACGAGTGTCACCCCCTGCAGTTAAACCTCTGGAGCCTGCCGTAGGAGTAACACCACTGGAACCAGCTGCCGCCGGTGCTGGGGAGAGGCAGTTCGCAGGCTGGGAGCACGACAACAGAGGGCTCTCCCCAACCCAGGGTGACCCTGCGGAGCTTTCAGCAACCAAAGGTGACTCAGATGGGTGGTTACGTTGCTCCTCTGGGGATAAAACCCCCCTTCTCTCAATGGTACGCGGATCCTCCTCAGCGTCCTCTGCGGCTCGATCGCCATTTTCCACCCCCTCTGTCCTCCCCTTCTCTGACTCCTCTCTCCTCCCCTCTCGTGCCTCTCCCATTACCTCTTCCCTGGAATCTCCTTCCGCCGCTGTCCTCTCTGCTTCCCTCTCATCTCCCCCCTCTCCCTGTTCGACTTGCTGGGAGGGGCACAGCCTCTCCCAGTCCTCCTGCAACATGAACAGACGCCGAGTGGCCCGGCTCCTGTCTTGCTGTGCGTCCATCCCACCTTCATGACTGTTTGCCATGACTCCCCTTTGTCTCCCCTCCTTCCTCTCCCTCAACACGGCCTCTTCCTCCTCTGCCAGCAGGTAGACGGCTCTTCTCAGCGCCTTATTCAGCACACTCAGAGGAGGCTCTGTTCGTTGAGTGGCAGGAGTGGCCGCAGCCGGGGGTGTAGCCCCTGCTTCTGCTGCTGCTTCTGCTGCTGCTTCTGCTGCTGGTTTCCCTTCAGCACGTGATGAAGGCCCAGGTGTCTCCAAACTACTGCGCTTCTTTCCCTTGCCTCGCATGTTGCAGCTGCTGCTGCTGCCCTTAGCTCTGCTTGCTGCTTCAGATGCTGTCCGCCGCCGCTCATCCTGCAGGCAAGCAAAGGGCGCAGAAACATGCTACTCCATGAGTCCAGTCGAAAGACAATCCTTGTTTCTAGAGCAGGCAAAGGAAGAAGGAGCATGAAGCCACGCAGCCCTCCCATCCTCCAATCACTCACTCAGTTCATGCCAGTGCAGATGGTTCCCTACTAGCATAATGTTAGAGATAGGCTGCAATTCGGTTGGCACAACTTTGTGTGTTGGCAATTTGTTGGCTTTAGGGATACGCATATTTGTTAGGTTGGGTGTAGCTATGTTTTCATCCCCAACCTATCCCAACCCAATCCATCCCAAATCCTCACGATTTGGGAGGATTCCCTTGGAATTCCCTCCGATTCTCCCTTATCCCTTCCCATCCTCTCCGATGCTCGTTACTTAAGGATGTATGCTCTTGCTCATTCTATCAATGAAGTTCTCAGTTTCTGACACATACTTCCATTCAGAAAGGTGCTAAGGGGGCAGCATACCTACCAAAAAGGAGCAACAAGGAATGGCGTACCTCCCAGATGGGTGCAAGTGAGGGCACCATTTGAATGTCATCGCCAGCCTCGCTGAGAGGCACTCGCAGAAGGTCATTCACGTTCAGTATATCTGCACGCGGGCACACACGGATGAACGTTCAGTATATCTGCACGCGGGCACGCACGGATGAACGTTCAGTATATCTGCACGCGGGCACGCACGGATGAACGTTCAGTATATCTGCACGCGGGCACGCACGGATGAACGTTCAGTATATCTGCACGCGGGCACGCACGGATGAACGTTCAGTATATCTGCACGCGGGCACGCACGGATGAACGTTCAGTATATCTGCACGCGGGCACGCACGGATGAACGTTCAGTATATCTGCACGCGGGCACGCACGGATGAACGTTCAGTATATCTGCACGCGGGCACGCACGGATGAACGTTCAGTATATCTGCACGCGGGCACGCACGGATGAACGTTCAGTATATCTGCACGCGGGCACGCACGGATGAACGTTCAGTATATCTGCACGCGGGCACGCACGGATGAACGTTCAGTATATCTGCACGCGGGCACGCACGGATGAACGTTCAGTATATCTGCACGCGGGCACGCACGGATGAACGTTCAGTATATCTGCACGCGGGCACGCACGGATGAACGTTCAGTATATCTGCACGCGGGCACGCACGGATGAACGTTCAGTATATCTGCACGCGGGCACGCACGGATGAACGTTCAGTATATCTGCACGCGGGCACGCACGGATGAACGTTCAGTATATCTGCACGCGGGCACGCACGGATGAACGTTCAGTATATCTGCACGCGGGCACGCACGGATGAACGTTCAGTATATCTGCACGCGGGCACGCACGGATGAACGTTCAGTATATCTGCACGCGGGCACGCACGGATGAACGTTCAGTATATCTGCACGCGGGCACGCATGGATGAACGTTCAGTATATCTGCATGTGGGCACGCACGCATGAACGTTCAAGCACACATAGAGGAGCCCAAACAGACAGGTCCCCACCAGCAGACAAGCACAGGCAAGGGACGGAAAGCAGAGAGCACGGGTGTAAATCACCCTTGAGCAGAGTGACATTCACCCTTGAGAGCAGAGTGACATTCACCCTTGAGCAGAGTGACATTCACCCTTGAGCAGAGTGACATTCACTGACAGGTCACCTTTTGCAGGCAAGCACGGAATGGTGGAAGTCGTCTCCTTGCCCACATTCGCGCACCACAATAAAGATCCGCAGCAAAGACGGCAAGCAATGGGTTCGACCCGCAGCAAGCCACAGAGTAGTCTCTTAGATCGGATACTAAGCCGCAGCAAAGACAGCTAAGGCGCAAGAAAGGTAACGGGAAGTCATCTCCTTGCCCACATTCTTGCACCACACGGACGCTCACACATGCTACCTCACATGTTGCATTCCCTCCCCAATCATCATATCCTCCACTGCATTAGCCCCCCTCCACCATACCGTATGGTACTCCTCTCCGACTCCTTACCCACCTGCCTGCCACGCACCCATCAGCCTCCAGCTCGCACACACTCTGGCGCCCAGCTCCCACCCGCCCACGCAATCACCCACAGCTCACAGACGCTAAGCCATCACCCCATGCTATTGCCTCCCCTCCCACCCACCTGCCACGCACCCATCAGCCTCCAGCTCGCACAAACTCTGTCGCCTGATCCCACCACTCTGCACACACAGCCCTTCTGATAGCGCCTCCTCACGGCAAATCCTCCTCTTCCTCCCTAAGCTTCGGCTTGCCTCAAACGCGCATCCTTCGTTCGTCCCTCCAGCTGCCCACAAGCACCCTTGGGGCACGTGCCCAGCAAAGTACACTCCCCTTATTTTCCTGGAGCCCCCATAAGCACTGCCAGCAGCGGCGGCGGCGGCAGGAGCAGCAGAACGGGCATGAGGCGGATGGGTGGGAAGTGGCGGTCTGAAGAGGACTCGAGAGAGGCGGATGAGGCCCATGCCCACGAGATTGTAGTCGATCTGATTGGAGGAATATGTGGCATGATGCATGGCGGGCCATGGGACATGGCCCCGTGGTTTGAGTATAAGGGGTGGTGGTCTAATGAGGACTCGAGAGAGGCAAATGAGACCCATGCCCACGAGATTGTAGTCGATCCGATGAGAGGACGTACGGGGCATGTGGAGCATGAGACATCGGGCATATGGAATGTGGCACGGATGGTGGCACGTGCACATGGGAGGAGAAGGGGTGGTATGAAGAGGACGGGGGATAGGCGAATGAGACCCATGCCCCAATCTAAACAGGGGCAATGGGGTATGGGGCACGGGGCATACTACACAAAAGTTGGATGCAAAGTGGAGAAGAGAAAAATCTCCCTCGTGGTAAACCCCTAGGAACTTGGGTCTGAAACCTATATTTCCCCTATGTGTTCACAGTGTAGCCCGTGCATTCACAGTGTAGTCTGTGCGTTCACAGCGTAGCCCTTCTTTAAATTTTAGTCAAGTTTTTACAGCACCTTTATTTGCAGGAGGTATGGGATGTGGGACTCGTATGGCTGGAACACCCGCCCCATCACTGCTCCTGACTGCACATGGTACAAAACCACAGACAACTAGGAAGTAAGTGGTATAGGTGTGGCGTAAAGGCGCCGCAGTCATCGTCACATATTTAGAATACATCGCACCAACCTCGTTTCCAGGCATTTCAATTTAAAAAGCTCTCCAAAAACGAAACTCACCTGAAGAACCAACTTGGCACGAGTCATCTCAACAGTCACCTATCTGTAACAAGTATCACCAACTTACCACACCTCAACCACGCACACACTCCAATGAACGCAGCAGACTTTTGAGGTGCCTCAAAAGTCGTCTCTTCATCACCACTGACCTGAAGAATAAACGCAGCACGTGTTACTTCATCCGGATAGAACCTGCGTTCGGTCGGAGCATCAATACAGCATCGGAAAGACAGGGCATGAGAGGAGGGCCATGCGAGATATGTATGTATGAGGCCGCATGGATGGGCCATTCTTGGAAGCACGTGCGTGGATTCAGCGAACTGGTTCCTTCCATTCTGTTGCTGCGCCGTGCATGCACTTGCCATGCGTGACACTCAACCATGCCATGTCGTGCCCATTGAAATCATACCACCATACCACATCGCACCTCATCACACCACACATCACCCACGATTCCAGTTTGATGAAGAGGCATTCGTGTGGGTGATAGCCGTAGAAGGGCAGAGCTCGCACCAGAGAGCATCTTGAACGCCTCTCAAGAAAGCATACTACCATACGTACCACATTTCACCGCATCGCATCGCACACATCACACCGCACATCACCCACAATTCCAGCTTGATGAAGAGACATTCGTATGGGTGATAGCCGTAGAAGGGCAGAGCTCGCACCAGAGAGCAAGCATGCACGTGCTGGCGCTTGCGCGCATAGGGGGTGGCAACCTGAGGTGATGGGAAGAAGGAGGGGGGCAGCCTGGAAATCTAGTTTTGAGGTGCCTCAAAACTGGGAAGGAGGGGGGCAGCCTGGAAATCTAGTTTTGAGGCGCCTCAAAACTGGGAAGAAGGAGGGGGGGGGGCAGCCTGGAAATCTAGTTTTGTGGCGCCTCAAAACTGGGAAGAAGAAGGGGGGCAGCCTGGAAATCTAGTTTTGAGGCGCCTCAAAACTGGGAAGAAGGAGGGGGGGGGGCAGCCTGGAAATCTAGTTTTGTGGCGCCTCAAAACTGGGAAGAAGAAGGGGGGCAGCCTGGAAATCACAACACATCACGAAAGGCAGAGCTCGCACCAGAGAGCAAGCATGCACGTGCTGGCGCTTGCAAGCGTAAGGGTTGACAACCTGAGGTGAAAGAATAGAGGAAGGGGATGGGACTTGAACGGAATCACAACACATCTGGGAAGGGAAGAGACCCCACCAGAGAGCATGCATGCGTGCGTGCTCTGCTGCGTGCGAGCATGATTCGGTTCAACAACCTGAGGCGAGAGCTTAGGGAGACGTAGATGGATCACAGGTGGGTTGCTTGCAGAGGCCTTACTTCCATCTAGACATGAGCAAACGGCCCGGACGGGCCGGGCCGGACCGGACCGGACCGGAATTTTCCCGGGCCGGGCCGACACTCGGAAGGGTCCCGGCCCGTTCGGGCCGGTCCGGGTATGGCCCGCCGGGCCGGGCCGGCCCGCCGGCCCGACGAGGTCATTCAAGTCGGGCCAGGCGTCGTCAGGCTGGTTGGCCCAAATTCTGCCCGTTTTGAGGGCGGGCCGGCCCGGCCCGGTTCGAGTAGGCATCCAAGTCTGTTTCCGGCCAACTCGAGCATGAGGTTCAGTTCAGCAACATGAGGCGAGAGCTTAGGGAGACAGTTGGACGAGGTGTTTGAAGTTAACTCTCCTGCCGTGCCATGAGCATCGAACACAGCAATAGAACAAAGGGATTGTACGGAGGCGTATCCTGGCCATGTTTGAACAAGTCTCGTATGACATACCTTGAGCGCGTACTCAAGTGCCGAAGCAAGTTGATGCATGAAGACTCGAGCTGGTGTGAAGGAGTGGAGAGAGGGGGAAGGCAAACGAAATAGCAGCAGGGCCCTGAGACGCATAAAAAAGTGCTGGGAAGAGTGCTTGACTGCAGGTATTCCTATAAGTGATATATACGCCACTGCTTGAACCAAGAACCTCAGGCGGATTCCTTAAACAGCGCAAAGGCGCCTGTGACAGCAACTGGAGACACTCATACCTTTAGCCATATCCTGTGGCAGGTCATCATCATACGGCACGTAAAAGTAGGGGAGGGCCTGCAGAAAGGAACGGTGAAAGGAAAGGCATTAGGCAGGCAGGCAGGTTTTGAAGCCTCTTGGCCGGAGCACATATCCTGCGGCAGGTCGTCATCATACGGCACGTAAAAGTAGGGAAGGGCCTGCAGAAGGGGTAGCAAAGGGAGATTTCCAACTGGGCCTGCACTGCAGAGGGGGTAGCAAAGAAAATTTTCCAACTGGGCCTGTAGGTGGCTCAAAGCTCTTGGGGCGAGTCAAACGCCGTATCCTGCAGGTCTTCAGCATATGGCACGTAGGGGTAGGGGAGATCCAGCAGATGGTGAACGGTGAAACGAGAAGTACAGGTGTTGAACCAGAGGGCGTGCAGAGGCAAGGAGGAGGCATTCAAAGCAGGCTGGCAAAGATAGATTTTCCAACTGAAGTGTCGTTTGAGGCGCGTAACAGTTATCCGAAGGAAGTGCAATGGCTGCGAGTGCATAAAGGCTCTTCGCGTCGTAGTGGCGGTGGTGCCACTCCAAGGTAACGCCCGCATAAGAAAGGCTTGGGTCGTAGTGGGACATGTCACATACCCCATGCAAGTGCAGGCAGGTCCGCTGCCCCATGGCGGTTGCTCCAAATATGCGCACAACTGGCACCTTATCCACCGCTCGCCCTGCCACGTGGCACACAAGGAACCTGACGGCTTTCATCAGTGTACACTCAGTAGCTGCTCAATCGCACCTTGTGCGACAGATTGGTGCAGTCCAATAGCATCTGATACGCAACCAGAGCAGTCCGATGTCAACTGATGTGTAACCAGAGCAGCCAGAAGTCAACTAAAGTGCAACCAGAGATGCCAGGCGTCACTTAATGTGTAACCAGAGCAGTCAGGTGTCAATTAATGTGTAACCAGAGCAGTCAGATGTCAATTGATGTGAAATCGGAGCAGCCAGACATCACCTAAACTGTAACCAGAGCACTTGAGACAGGCGAAACGTGCTCTAATTACCTTGAAAGGACGAGAACGAATGATCTAACCCAGGCATCGGAGCGCCCATGTAGTGATCGATGCACACCAAACGCATGGAGAACACCTCCTCCGCCCCTCTATTCTCTTCCTCCCCCTCCGCCCCTCTATTCTCTTCCTCCCCCTCCGCCCCTCTATTCTCTTCCTCCCCCTCCGCCCCTCTATTCTCTTCCTCCCCCTCCGCCCCTCTATTCTCTTCCTCCCCCTCCGCCCCTCTATTCTCTTTCTCCCCCTCCGCCCCTCTATTCTCTTCCTCCCCCTCCGCCCCTCTATTCACTTCCTCCCCCTCCGCCCCTCTATTTTCTTCCTCCCCCTCCGCCCCTCTATTCCCTTCCCCCTCCTCCTCCCCTCGCCCCTCGTCATCCTCTTCCGCGTTCCTCTCCAGCCCTTCCTTTACCCCTTCTCCGCCCTCTCCCAGCTCTCCCTTCTCTTCCTCTTCTGCTAAAACCTCGTCGCCCTCCTCTGTCTTTCGGTCCTCCATCCCCAGATCCTCCTCCCAAACTCTATCCGTCCTCTCGCATTGCACTCCTTTCGCCAGCATCGCGAAATAAAACGACGTGTTTTGTTCGCTGAACGACAATACACACACAAGCAGCTTCGAGTAGGCAGAATGTTTTGCTTGTGCGAAACGCAAATTTGGTTCAAGCTCGCGAAACGATTCTAGCGGGAATCTACAAAGGTCAGCGTGGAGAAAACCAAGAAGACAATTCAGGCTCGAACAAAAGGCCCATGTTTCAAAAATCGATTCCCTGCTTCAGTAATCTCGTCAGTCAGGCTCTCCCATCAGGAGTACTGCCAACAGCAGCTCCTAACTTCGAGTAGCCTGAAAATCTCGCTCGCTAGCGCGAAACGCTAAGTTAAATCAAGCTCGCAAAACTACCTAGCGGAAATCTACAAAGTTCAGCAGCCTGTGGGATACCAAGACGACGACAATCGAGTCTCGAAAAAAAACGAACCAAGTTCCAAGAATGGATTCCCTGCAGTAATCTCGTCTGTCAGACTTCCAGGAGCACTAACAGCAGCTCGTATGCCACACAAGCTTCACCCTATCGTGCGAACTCCTGTCGCAGGCGTCAATGCGAAGCATCATGGCGAAATCCACTTCCCGCATCTCTTCGCCCTAGCTGCCATTGCCGCCCAAACTGTAACTTTAGTTGCAGAGAATCTTCAATTCGCGAAACTCAGGACTCCTAAATGGTAACAGAGGAAAGGAGACGCATCGAGCGTCAGCTTGACGCTGATTCTGGATGCCTTATTAGCTGGTTCGGAAGCACGTCAAGCCATCTGTTAGGTCGCAAACTGTAGCATATGACTGCTGTTCATGCTCATCCTTTCGGGACTTGTGAATCCAATGAAACGAAATACGGTATGTGAATCTTACCGGTACAAATTATTTATTCATATAAAATATTTTAATAATTGTTCTCCCAAACACATCATATTATTCTCAGTATAACAAAACACAAAATTAATCATGCAATCACGATAATATCGAAGGTGGTATAAGAAAATCCAGCACACTTTCAACATGTTTTATCGGATCATCCTATTGAGGTTGAGCAATGTGCTCTTGCACCGCCGTCTTTTGTAGGCACCTCATCAGTCAATGCCAGTCCCAGTTATTCGTTCGTTGCCCTTTCTAGCATGATGGCCGCGAAATGTTCCGCCATGCACGGCTGGCATTTCACTGCGAGGATTTTTGTTGCTGTCGAGTTCGCGCTGGCGTGGCAAGGCGGAAGTCGTGGCGGAAAGGAGAAGGCTTGGCGAAAGTCTTGCCTAATTTACGGCATTCCCTGAATAACTAAAGAAAGGGTCACGACGATGGCGACAGCCGCTAAGGATGTGTTACCAGCGCTGGGCCCCGCATATGAGCCTTGCGCTGAGGGAAATCTATCCTCTCCGTTGCTTTCACAGTCTCTCGCTCATCCTCGCAAAATCGAACGCATCAGTTTCCCTTCCGTATCCAAATTATGCGCTCGTTGCGCTCTTTGCTTTCTTTCGCAGGCCCGTGACGTCCGGCCACTGTCTCTCAGTACTCTCTGCTTCTAGAAATCGGTCCGACCCTTTTCGTTGTTGTGTTTCGCACATCAGCCTCTTCAACTCCTGGGATTCGTAAAGGCGGAGTGCCTCGTAAAGGCGGAGTGCCTCGTAAAGGCGCAGTGCCTCGTAAAGGCGGAGTGCCTCGTAAAGGCGGAGTGCCTCGTAAAGGCGGAGTGCCTCGTAAAGGCGGAGTGCCTCGTAAAGGCGGAGTGCCTCGTAAAGACGGAGTGCCTCGTAAAGGCTTACAACCAGCTGCGTCCCAGTGACAGAAACCGCAACCCAAAAAGCTCCCATGAGATCGCCAGATCCAGGACCGCCAGAACCTTCTTTGATATTTTGAGCCAGTCATTTTCTTCCGACTCCGGAATGGGTCGCAGAAACCTCCTGCTCAACGCGCTGCTCCTGCTGACGTGTTTCTTGTTTCCGCACGGCGGCTGCGGCGAAGTGCCTACGAACACCACCCAAGGTCTGTCCGTTCTTGTGCGGCCGCACACAGTGCTCTAGTAGTGGCAATAGCTACGGCCACAGTGTCCCACTGCCGCCACAGCTTTTTAAATCTGTAGCTTTGGTTGGTAACACTCATATGAGTTAGGCTCTTAACTCTGTAGTACTGCCTGAATCTGTCATATCACAACCCCCGCCTCGCGTCCGCGTAACAAGTGACTTCTGCAGCGTTTTTGCAGCCAGCAGGAGACAGCGTTCTTGTGAACTCGTTGAAACTTTCGTGTCTCCTTTTCACAGAGACCAGCTAGTGCTCTTCTTGTCGTGGGAATAGCTTACCTATCAATCTCTAGATGTGAAAATCCATTGACTCCATTGTCTAGTTTTGACCGCTTTCACTTCCCGGCAACATGCATTCATCTCATTGCGTCTTCTTGTTTTCACTTTCCGCCAACATGCATTCATCTCATTGCGTCTTCTTGTTTTCACTTCCCGCCAAAATGCATTCATCTCATTGCGTCTTCTTGTTTTCACTTCCCGCCAACATGCATTCATCTCATTGCGTCTTCTTGTTTTCACTTTCCGCCAACATGCATTCATCTCATTGCGTCTTCTTGTTTTCACTTCCCGCCAACATGCATTCATCTCATTGCGTCTTCTTGTTTTCACTTCCCGCCAACATGCATTCATCTCATTGCGTCTTCTTGTTTTCACTTTCCGCCAACATGCATTCATCTCATTGCGTCGTCTTGTTTTCACTTTCCGCCAACATGCATTCGTCTCATGCCGTGCTTCGACCCTTACCCCCTCTCCATGTGATGCGTTGCAGCTTCAGGTTTAAGTGAAGCTGAATCTAGAGTCACCCCGAGATAAAAGACGGATTAAAAGATGCTAAAAAACATGCATTCGACTCACTGCACTGCTTTTACCCTTACCCCTTCTGTATGTTCTACACAGCATCTTCAGGTCCAAGTGAAGCTGAAGCTGGAGGCGCAGCAAGAGGCATCGCGATGATGACGATTGTCATTGTGGTTGTTCTTGTCGCGCTGTCGTTGTTGGCGCTACTATGGCAATGCTACAAGGAAATAGCGAAAAGGAGAGCACCAGGAAGAGTCGCAAAGAATGCGATGACAAGCGATTCACAGTGGACGTTTCCAGGCAAGCATGTATACCCCATCTCCCAGCTCTTTCCCTCTTCCAAATGGTCCTTGCAGTAGTAGGGTGAAGGTACATGCCATGCCGTAGCATTGAGTGCAATTAGCAGCGTTGCCGTGAACCAGATTTTCACCCTCGTCTCACCCCCTCTCTTCCCCTATCCCCCCTCTCCTCGCCTGCATCCCTTCCTAACCAATTCTCGCAACTTTCATCTCGTCTTTATGTTCCTTTTTTTTTTCGCAACTTCTCACTTTCTGTCTCCGCTTCTGCTGCTTTTTCTTGCAATTCCGCGTTCCCCCCACCGTCTTCAACTCATCACTTAATTCAGCCACTGTCTTCCACAACTCACCCAACTCAATCTGCAAATTCAGAGAGAAAGCAGGATGACCCAGAATCCAAAGACGCAACAGCCGGCGCGGAACTTGGTCAGGCTATAACTAGAGGGAAGGGGGATGATGCAGTTGTGCAGGACCCAAAAACCAATGACGCAGCAGCAGCGGCAGCGGCAGCGGCAGCAGCAGCAGGAGGGAGGGAAAATGGTGCAATTGTGGTCGATATGGAGGCAGCGCGGCCACAGGTGTGCCAGGAGTTCTCCCTGGCAGAGGTGACCAAGGCAACTGCAGATTGGTCAGAGGGGAACAGGCTTGGCAGTGGCAGCTTTGGTGATGTCTACAAGGGTGTGTCTCTGCACAGTGGCAATCAAGTATGGGCCGTCAAACGGGCTCGCATACTCACCAATGAGTTTCAGACAGAGGTACATGCCACTTAATTTTTGAGATTGCAGCTCTTTACATCAATGGGGTTTGAATCGATGATCATGCATCTTGATTAATCGTTTGCTCTCAATCTATGTATCCATGCTCACTCAACCTCTCATAATATGACCTTCTAGGTTAAGGAGATGGCAAGCAAACACCACCCCCATCTAGTGAGACTGCTGGGCTACTGCATGGACTTCAACCCAGCAACCAGACACATCGAGCAGATCCTGGTGTATGAGTTCATGGAGAACAAGGACCTTGAGAGCTGGACAGGACCGGATGTACCTGTTCCTCTTTCTCTGCACCAACGTCTAGATGCGTTGATAGGAGTGGCAAAGGGGCTGCAGTACCTGCATGACTTTGGCATCGTGCATCGCGACATCAAGCCCGCCAACATCCTCCTCGGCGCAAACATGCAGGTTTTGTAACATGTTGTAATTCTTCTTCTTTTTTGCATGCAATGATTTGTGTTTCCCGACTCATAGCAAGAGTACTCTTTTTCATATGAGATCATAAAATGGTCCACCCATCCAAGTGCTTATTTAAAACCCCCCCCCCCCTCCTCCCTCCCCCCCTCCTCCCTCCCCCCCCCCCCCCCCCCCCCCCCCCCCCCCCGCCTCTTTTTTTTTTTTGCCTTCTGTGGTTTTTTGGCAGGCTAAGATAGCAGACTTTGGCTTAATGAAGCTGAGTGGGGGTACTTCGACAGGCACATCTGTGGCAGCTACCAGAGTGATGGGAACACCTGGCTATGTGGACCCAGCCTATTACAAGTCACAGAAAGCCACTCCAGCAGCAGATGTCCACAGGTGGGTGGATAGTGAACTCACATGTAATCAAACCATTTTTGCATAAGGGATGTCGTGAGTATGTAGGAAGGCGGATGTAGCATAGATTGAGCCGAAAATATGAATATTCTATAGAAGTCCGAACAATGTTCTTTGCTGGTCTATTCTTTCCCCCTTACTTGCTTTATGTTGTTAGCTTTGGCGTGGTGATGCTGGTGGTCATCACGGCACGCAAGGCCGTTCACATGACGGAGGACACCCTCTTCAACCTCAAGCAATGGGTGAGGCATGAGAGACGGGTGAGGCATGAGCGATGGGTGAGGCATGAGCGACGGGTGAGGCATGAGCGATGGGTGAGGCATGAGCGATGGGTGAGGCATGAGCGACGGGTGAGGCATGAGCGATGGGTGAGGCATGAGCGATGGGTGAGGCATGAGCGACGGGTGAGGCATGAGCGATGGGTGAGGCATGAGCGATGGGTGAGGCATGAGCGATGGGTGAGGCATGAGCCATGGGGTGAGGCATGAGCCATGGGTGAGGCATGAGCTATGGGTGAGGCATGAGCCATGGGTGAGGCACAAGAAACAGCACAATCTGCCCTCCCCTGCATATGTTGCTTCTGTTTCTCCACCCTCATGCTGTCTATCTGCCGCTGCTGCCCTCTGAAATCTCTCGATTCCCCTTCATGTTTCCTCACAGTGCCATTGCATCTTGCATGACATGTGGGCAATGCAGGTGGCACCACTGGTGGCATCCAGCAACGTGGCAGCATTCAAGGACCCGTACCTGAACGCACCGGACGACTTGGTGCTGCGCATGGCCCGCCTCGCCCTCTCCTGCACTGCCATGCCCACCACCTCTCGTCCCGCCATGAGCCAAGTGCTGGCGGAACTAGTGAAGATGAAGAGGGAGGTTGTGGAGGTAAAGGCTAGTGGGGCAGCGTCAGCATCGCGCATTGATGGGGAGATTGACCCATCAGCTGACGTGGACTTCGATTCGCAGATGGCTAGATTGGAACAGATTGGGAGTGAGAGTGGCCCGTCCATCAGTGTGGTCTGACTCTTGTGCTTGAATATTGCCATTTGTTGTAGCCTTTTAGGGCCTAGGTACTTTGTTTCTCTTTCAGCTTCAAGGGAGTACTATCTGCACATTAGTTGAATGTATGCGGTGTTGGGCTGGAATAAGCACGTAGGATCTTTGCAAAGACCAAGTCCCAAGAGAGATGTACTTGCGGAAGCATGGTGTAAGACTTGATGAACCTCTTGCACAGGTATGTGAGAACAAGAGAATTGATTAACACAAACAGAATACAGGAATATATAGTTATTCTAGAATACTGGACAGTTACTACAGCTGCTGTTGCGCTATCGAGCGTATAGCGACTCGATACCTTACAGTAACAGTTACTGTGCAGTTGAGCTGCCACGCAACCTCAAGGCACAGCCTCCGGATGCAACTGCCACGCGCTTTGATTACACGCACAACTGCCGCATGTAACTATCAAAATTGAAGAAGTGATTGAGCATGAGACAGTACAAGGGAATATATGCAAGTGTGTTGTACCCTCTAGGGCACAAACCTATATTGTCTATATTAACATACTAAGATATGTTTGACACACACCCTAGACCATATAGGAACAGTGCCTAACAGGAGAACAAGCAGCTCAGGGCGGCACTACTAGTCCAGCCTCTGAGGCAAGGGTCTAAAGACCAGTCAACAAGAGTACAGACAAGACAAGAGCAAGTCCAGGGCGGCACTACTAGTCCAGCCACTGGGAAGAGGCCACAAGGCCAGTCTGGGTAAAAATATATAAAGGTCTGTACATAGTCAAGGCCCTAGCAGGTGAGAGGCAACAGGAACAAGACCTAGCTGTACACGGTGCCGCTTATGATCTTTAAGTGCAAGCGCCTTCGTAAAGATATCAGCTGTACTGGCACCGGAGGCCAAGAGTACTACGCGTGCCTGGCGGCGCTGCTGTAGCTCGCGCAGGAGGAAGTACCGCAGCTGAATGTGCTTCGTTCTGCCCTCAAGTCGAGGCTCCTGACACAGGAGGATCATGGCCCTGTTGTCACCGTACAGGACCGGGGCAGAGCTAGGCCACTCACCTAAGTCAGTGAGCAAGAAAGTCAGCCAGCGGAGCTCCTGTGCTGCCATGGCACCGGCGTAGATCTCGGCCTCACAGCTGGACTGGGCAACAGACGAGGAGCAAGTAGCTCGCCACGAGACGGCACCTGAACCAAGGCTAAAGCAGTAGCCCTGTGAGGACCTGAGGGTCTCGGCGTTGTCTGCCCAAGAAGCGTCAGTGTGCCCAGTAAGAACCACTGGCCTGCGTCCTCCTAGCACTAACCCCATGCCCGATGTACTTTCTAGATAACGCAAAACCCTCTTAGCGGCAAACCAGTGCTGAGGTTGGTGTCTGCCTGTGGCCACAAAGCGGGCCAGGATGCTGAGAGGGTATGCGAGATCTGGATGAGTGTAAGTCATCAGGTACATGAGGCAACCCACCAGCTCTGCGTAAGGACCACTGGGCTCTACTGTCTCCTCAGGAACATGAGCAGAGAGCCTGTGATCTACTGGAAGAGGTGTGGGCTGTGCGGAAGAGAACTGAAGACCGAGCCTCTGAAGGACCTGGCGCACCAAGTGTGACTGGGTGAGGGTGATGTGCGCGCTGCTCTGTCCCTGGAGATCTGGAGGCCAAGGTAGCGGCGCAGCTCTCCTAGTTCAGTACAGGTGTGTCTTCTCAGTAGCTCAGCCTTCACGAAGGCCAGCGCGGGAGTGTCTGCAGTGGTAAAGACCAGATCGTCTACGTAAACAAGGATATAGAACGGAGTCTGGCCAGAACGAACGAAGAGCGAGGGTTCTGCAGAGGACGGAAAGAACAGCAGGTCTGCAAGGGTAGCACGCAGCGTGTCGTGCCACTCCCGGGGCGCCTGCCGCAAGCTGTAGACTGGACGTCGCGGGAGCCACTGGGTCCCAGGAGGGAAGGTACCAGTGAAGCCCTGAGGGCGACGCAGGTAGACCTGCTCGTGTAGACTGCCCTGAAGAAACACAGTGGAGAAGTCGAGGGAGTGTAACCCGTAGTCACGCTGCGCTGCTACGTGTAGCAGTGCCCGAAGAGTAGTCATCTTCGGGGTCGGGGCGAAGGTCTGAAAGAAGTCCACCCCCCCACGCTGACTAAAGCCTCTAGCCATGTAGCGCGCCTTGAACACAGGCAGCTCTCTAGGAGGGAGCTTCACCTTGAAAAGCAGCGGCCATCGACTACGTTCACCCCAGGTGGGGGAAATGCGTCGAAGTAGGTGCCGGTGGATCTCCAAGATGCCATCTCCTGCTCCATGGCAGCTATCCACTGAGAGGCCCAAGGTCCCGAGGTCGCCTCTGCGTAAGTGCGAGGGGTCAAGATGTCGAAAGCGTATGGGTCACCCTCAGGGACTAGCAGCATGGAACAGAGATGGGAAGCAGCCTCGGATTGGAAAGCAAGCTCGTACTGCCGGTCCTCCAGGACGTCACTGCCGAGGGCAGGAGCACCCCCGACCGACGGAGGACAGGCAGGGTCAGAGACCAGAGCAGTGGCGTAGTCAAGGCGGCGGGTAGAGGCGAAGTCAGCGACTGCATCGACAAGAGTGCAAGACACGAGACCGGAATAGACGGGTTGGTAGCGAGAGAGGCAAGGACCCGAGGAACAAGAGGACGAGCGGCACGAAGATAGTCAGGTAGAGGGGGAGGCGCAACAACAAGGGAGGACGGAGGAGGCGACGGTAGGAGGGGAGGACGAGACGCGTGGGAACGAAGCAACATAGTGTGAGAGCGTGGGATAGGGGAGACGGGGCGAGCACGGGAGGGACGGCAAGACCAGATATGAGACGGAGGAGTCGGTTCAGGAGACAGAGGAGGGGACACAAGAGGGGAACGAGGGGGAAGACAAGCCAGAGTTGAGTCCGGGGGAGGAAACACAGGGTCGTAGACAGGAAGAGGAGGAGACGGCAGCAGCGGCACAGACGCGTCGTGAGGGGACGGAAGGCCTAGCAGGCGAAGGGCTGACACGGGCGATGACTGCTGCGGCGGCAGCACGACACCGACACCGGGACCGCAAGCTACTCCACGACTACCTACGGAACACTCCACTCCAGCACCCCGAGAAGGAACACCCCCAGAGCCTGAAACCCCTCGAGCACCGGTACCAGCCCCAGGCTTGCCGGGACAAGCCATGATAGAAACCCCAGGACTAGTACCCACCCCAACGCCAGCACCCCCAGAGTCAACGAACTGCTGCTGTGAAGGCTGCGGCGGCGGCGGCGGCTGCAACGACGGCTGCGGCGGCGGTGACGGCGGCTGCTGAGGCGGCGGAGGAGGAGACACCGTGGGAGGGGCAGGCGGCGAGGACTATGCCGCAGGGCCACCAGAGTCAGCAGACTCCTCGACCGGGACAATCGACGTGAGGGGGGTGACGTGAGACACACCAGACGGAGCAGGACGGGGAGGGGGAGGGGGAGGGGCAGGGGCGACCGGAAATGGGGGAACCAGGAACAGGGAGGGAGTAACCGGGGGACCACGGTGAAGGAAGCGGTGGTAGAAGGAGACGGGCTCATCAAAGGTGACGTCGCGGGAGTGAAAGAAACGGTGGGACGGCGGGTGGTAGAAGTGCCAGTCAGACGAATCGAGGAGGAAACCTAAGAAGACGCAGGGGAGGGTGCGGGCAGTGAGCTTGTCCGTGCCAGAGGCACGAACGTGAGCAAGGCAGCCCCAGACGTGGAACGCAGATGCGTCACCAGGAGACCCGGACCAAAGAAGGGTCGGCGAAACCTGCGACTGCTGGGGGTGCGACCACAGGTTAAGTTGGTGAGCGGCGTAGCGAACGGCAAACGGCCACAGAACATGGGGTGCACCAGCATGGATCATGGAGGTACGAGCCACCTCCATGACCAAACCGATGCGTCGCTCAGCGACCCCATTCTGCTGCGAGGAGTCGGGCAAGGTGAACGTCTGGGTGATGCCCTCCGCACGACAGAAGCGACAAAGGACACCAGAGGCAAACTTGCCACCACGGTCGGAGTGGGGACGCAAGACAGGAAGACCGCGGTGGATAAGGACGTCAAGCACATCGGCCTTCCGCTCCAGGGGAAACACCGTGGTCTAGCGCATGTAGTCGTCGACCAGCACAAGAAAGTAGCACTCTCAACGCGGCCCATGGATGGGGGCGGGGCCCCAGACGTCCATGTGCAGGGTCTGTAGCGGTGTGGCAGTGGGGGGGAACGAGGAGGAGTGAGGGGCACGGCGGAGCCTGCCCTCAATACAGGGCGTGTACGGTGGCGCTGGGGAGGAGGGCAACTCGGGGAACGACCCTGGGAGACCTAGGACCAGACCGTACTGAGACATGTGACGCAGACGCGCAAGTGCAGGGTGACCTAGACGGTGGTGCCACAGGAGTGTCGGGTGAGTAAGCGACCGACACGAGCAGGCCGCAGCAACCTGAGGAGATGCAGCTACCTGAGGAGGCGTCCCAACCGGGGGGGGGCGCGGTGTCCGGTGTGAACAGGCCAGACACCGGGTCCCGGGGGAACGTGGTGAGAGGAGCACCTGTGGCGGCCTCGGTATAGGCAGCGTACCGCTCGTGACCAGGGAACGTAGTGGTGACGCCAAGGTCCTGGAGGTAGCCGACAACAAGTAGGTTCCTGGTGAACGAGAGGATGTGCAAGCCTTTAAGAGAGCCCGAAGGAGCCGCCGGACAGGGAAGGGTGGTGGAACTACGGGCGACTACCGGACCGGAGGAGGGGTCAGCAAGGGAAACTGCGGCAGGAGCAGCAAGTGGCGTCAGCGTAGTAGAGTCGCGGAAGAAACACCGGGAAGCGCCAGAGTCCAGGGTGAAGGAGAGCGTAGCAGTGGCGGCCGGAGTCGGAGCAGCGAGGGAAGAACCAAGGCTAAACAAGGCAGGGGATCCTACGTGTGACGCAGCAAAGGAGGCAAGACTAGACACACCTACACTAGGCAACAAGGGGTAGTAAGAACCAATCACACTAGAGTCATCAGCATACAGCACATTCAAGGCAGAGCTAAGCTCATCCATGTCCATATAAAAAATCAGAACACTACGGCGAAGCAAGCTGTACCAGTCGAGGAGGTCGGGCGACGGGCCGAAGCGAAGACGAAACAGGTTGTCTAGGCAACGAAAACAGCGGACAGGGGTGTGACCGATCTTACC